TATATTTAGGCCAGGCATGGTGGCTCATGCCTGTAATCCCAGCACTTTGGGAGGCCAAGGTGGGTGGATCACATGAGCCCAGGAGAGTATGAGACTAGGCTGGGCAACAGGGCGAGATCCTGTTCTCTACAAAAAATACAAAAATCAACTGGGGCCGGGCGCGGTGGCTCACGCCTGTAATTCCAGCACTTTGGAAGGCCGAGGCGGGCGAATCACGAGGTCAGGAGATAGAGACCATCCTGACTAACACAGTGAAACCCCGCCTGTACTAAAAATACAAAAAATTAGCCGGGCGTGGTGGCAGGCGCCTGTAGTCCCAGCTACTGGGGAGGCTGAGGCAGGAGAATGGCCTGAACCCAGGCGGTGGAGCTTGCAGTGAGCCCAGATCGAGCCACTGCACTCCAGCCTGGGCGACAGGGCGAGACTCCATCTCAAAAAAAAAAAAAAAATCAACTGGGTATGGTGGGATGCGCCTGTAGTCCCAGCTACTTGGGAGGCTGAGGCAGGAGAATGGTGTGAACCCAGGAAGCGGAGCTTGCATTGAGCTGATAGCATGCCACTGCACTCCAGCCTGGGCGACAGAGCGAGATTCCATCTCAAAAAAAAAAAAAAAAAAAAAAAAAAAAGATTTGTTTAAATCTGCACTCACCATCAGAGGAAGAGATGGCCTTTTTCAGGCCTGGGTCATAGCCCTGACTCCCCGGTTTGTACTGATTTCCTGTCCCCCTCCTCTACTAAGTAGGTCCTGAGTTTCAAAGGCGCAGGGACCACAACGTCTTCACTCCTACATCCGGGAGTTAGCACAAAGCCTGCCATAGACTAAACGTTCTGTGAATAAATAAGTGATGAACCCTGGCTGGGTGAGGGCATGTCAGATGTCGGATGGATGGATAAATGGGTCTGGCTGGTTATAGATAAATGAGTGAATGGTTGCTGGGCGTGAGGATGAAGGAAGGCCAGAGCCATGCCGAGAGTGGGAAGAACAGCCTCCACTCCATGTCAAGTGGAGAGAGCAGTCCCTGTGGGCCAGTCAGGGAGGCCTTCCTACCAAAAGAGGGAACTGAGCTACACCGTGAAAACTAAGGAGGGCTTGGATAAAGGCAAAGGGAGGCCCGGAGCAGTGGCTTATGTCTGTAATCCCAGCATTTTGGGAGGCCAGGGCAGGAAGATCACTTGAGGCCAGGAGTTCAAGACTACCCCAGGCAACATGGTGAGACCCAATCTCTACAAAATATTTTAAAATTACCCAGATGCAGTGGCACCTGCCTGTAGTCCCAGCAACTAAGGAGGCTGAGGCAGGAGGATGCCTTGAGCCCAGGAAATTGAGGTTGCAGTGGGCTGTAATCACCACATTGCACCCCAACCTGGGCAAAAGTGCAAGACTCTTTCTCAAAATAAAATATAAAATAAAAAATAAGGCAAAGACGAATGAAGGTAGGTCTTCAACTGTTGTTACAGCCTCTTGGGGGCAGGAGCTGATGGGAAATACAGGACTGAGCCAGATCCTAGTGGGCCCTCAGTGCCAAACTAAGAAGCTTAGACTGTTAAGCCTTCTATTAATTAGCTGCTATATATTAAGTCTAATTGTCTGTTAGTTTATGTGATATCTCTATATCCCCACAACAACTTCTCAAGAGAGGGATTATCTTCTCTATTTATAGTTGAATAAATAGATTCAGAGAGGGAAAGTGACTTGCTCTAAGTCACACAGCAGAGCCGGAATTTGAATCTGAGTTTAAGTGACTACCAATCTGCTACTGCTTTAAAAAACAAAACAAACAAACAAAACAAACTATCCCTCTCTGTTTTCTATCAATATGGTCACAGAGAACAGAGGGGTTTTGAGTAGGTGCCAGTTTGGGTGGAGATGATATCATCTTTTAGGTGGACTTTTTTTTTTCCTTTTTTTGAGACAGAGTCTCACTCTGTCACCCAGGCTGGAGTACAGTGGTGCAATCTCAACTCACTGCAGCCTCTGCCTCCACACCCAGGCAATTGTTCAAGCAATTCTCCTCCCCTAGCCTCCACACCCAGCTAACTTTCGTATTTTCAGTAGAGATGGAGTTTCACCATGTTGGCCAGGCTGGCCTCAAACTCCTGACCTCAAGTGATCCGCCCACCTTGGCCTCCCAAAGTGCTGGGATTACAGGCGTGAGTCACCGCGCCCAGCCTTAGGTGGACGTATTTGGCAGGGTGCCTCAGCTGCACCGTGAGCCTGGATAGCTCTGTCACAGCCTCCTCCTCCATCCTCTGACGGAGACCTTCTCCCTTAGGGCCAGGTAACAGCTGAGTCAAGAACATTGAGCTGGACCCCAGACCACCAAGGCTCCCAAGGCCAGGCAGAGTCAGGGTGGAAAGAGGAAGAGTGGACTAGAGGAAGAGTGGCATAGGAGCAGCAGACAGAGACTGTGACCGTGACAGAGGCCCCTGAACAAGCTTGGGGAGTTTCTCCCCCAAGGCCAGCAGACGATGGAAGTCAAGGCTGGAAGGGCCCTTGGAGATTACCTAGTCCAGTGACTTCCATGCATGGAAGAGGAGCCCCAAACCCAGCGGGGAAAGTGGGCTGCCCAAAGTCACCCAGGAGTCAGAGGCAGACTTCCCACCACAATTTACACTTCTTGACTCCCTTACCCATGCCAAGATGGGAAAGGTGGTGCCAAGATAGGACAGGTGGCTGAGAAAGGCCTATTCTGCCACCAACCTGCTGTGTGACCTTGGACAAGTCACTTCCCCTCTCTGAACCTCATCTTCCCTTTCCTCAAAATGAAATAATGATTCCAGCTCTGCCGTTCTGCCAAGGAGCATCCAGTGAGAGATGAGCTTTACAATCTGCAGATCCCTGGGAGGGGAGTCACCATCAAGAGGCAGGCTGGTGCCAGGTGGGTAAATGCCAAGGTTGGGCCTGGCACCACCAGGCTTCCCTCACCACCTTGCCCAAGCCTGCAGCTTCCTTGGTCTCTGCCCAAGCCTTGCCATCTGTGTGGTAGCATCAGCTCCACCTCCTCCTGCCTCCCTGCCTGGAAAAAGGCTTCTTATATCTCCTCACTTTATCTGAATCTTCCTCCCCCTCCCCAGCCAGACCCTCTTCTCTCCTCTTCTGTTGTAGTTAGGGCTCTTCGTTGCAAATGACAAAAATCGGCAGGACAAGGAGGGAGAACCAGCTTTAGGCATGGCTGTATTCAGAGGCCTGAAAGATGGCACAGGACATTCCCTTGTGTGTGTTCAGTCTTCCTCCCACACACACTCTCTCTGTACCTTAGCTATGGCTTTGTCCTCAGGCAGGCCATCCACCTGAGGTGGCCAAGGCAGCCACCAACAGCTCCAAGCTCACACCACACCCATTCAGGTATCCTGGCAGGAGAGCAGCTCTTCCCGATTGTTCTAGCAAATATCCAGGGTGATTCTCAGGGGCAGAGCACAAGGTGAGCGCCTATCCCTAAATTCATCGTTGTCTTTGATTATTTGGCTAGACTTGGCTCACCTGCCCACCCCAGAAACTAGAAATGAGTGAGCCCCACTCAAGCCATGTGGACAGAATGGTAGGAGGTGGTTCTTTAAAGCAAAATTTGGCTGGGCCTGGTGGCTCACGCCTATAATCCCAGCACTTTGGGAGGCTGAGGTGGGTGGATCATTTGAGGTCAGGAGTTCGAGACCAGCCTGGCCAACATGGTGAAACTCTGCCTCTACTAAAAATACAAAAATTAGCTGAGTATGAGGGCAGGTGCCTGTGGTCCCAGCTACTCAAGAGGCTGAGGCAGGAGAATTGCTTGAACCCATGAGGCGGAGGTTGCAGTGAGCTGAGATAGCCCCACTGCACTGCAGCCTGGGTGACAGAGCAAGACTCTGTTTAAAAATAATGATAATAAATATTTAGAAATAAAAAATAAACGACCATTTTATTTAGTTCATGATTCTGTGGGAAAGCTGGGAGATTCTTCTGTTCTGGGCTATGTGTCTCTGGTCAGCTAGTGATCCAGGGTGATCTAGCATGGCCTTGCTCACATGGCTGATGGCTGATGGGCTGTCAGCTGGGGTGCCTTCACTCTCCTCCCCGCGGCCTCTCATCCTCCAGCAGGTCAGCTGGAGCTTGTTCACAAGGTGGTCTTGTTACAAGTGAAGCAAGTGGGCAAGCTCCAAAGCACACCCATTTTTTTTCTTTTTTCTTTTTTTTTTTTTTTGAGACAGGGTCTCACTCTGTCGCCCAGGCTGGAGTGCAGTGACATGATCTTGGCTCACTGCAACCTCTGCTTTCTGGGCTCAAGCAATTCTCTCACCTAAGCCTCCCGAGTAGCTGGGACTACAGGCGCACACCACCACACCTGGCAATGGTTTGTATTTTTTGTCGAGACGGGGTTTCACCATGATGCCCAGACTGGACTCATGCATTTTTCAAGCCTTTTTCAAACACGTTTGCATCGTGTTTGACAAAGTCCCTTTAGGCAAAGCAAGTCGCGTGGCCAAGCACAGCATTAGTGTAGAAGGGCACTACGGAAGAGCATGGAAACAGGAAGAGGAGGATTTGAGGCCAATTTTGCAATATATTCCAACTCCCTCAGGGAAAGGGAGTGAAAAGCATTTTTTTCTCTGTAGCCCATGGATGTCATGGGCCAGGGCAAGCTGCAGATAGGGATCCTTGGAAGAGGTAACTGTGGCTCCAGGACTTCCCTGCCCTCCAAGGCTTGGAGTGACAGTCTGGATTCTGACCCCACTGTCTTCCCCACACGGAGTAGATGCAGGAGCTTGAGCTGCTAGAGGGAAGGGCCTCTTGGTGGGGAGGAAGGTATTCTGCATCCTGGCTCCTATCACCTTTCAGCCCATCCCAAAGTAATGACCAGGCTTAAGGACCCCCAGCATCCCTTTGGTAGTGAAGGACTGGATGGTTCTGAGACTTACGCCTCATCACCATGGTAACTGGTGCCACCTGCTCCCCAAGGTCAAGCAGGAATCCCTGTCCTTCCCTTTCAGGGGATGACTGTGGCCTCAGCCTGTCTCTTCCACAGGTGGCTGCGCTGGAGCGGCAGATCTTTGACTTCCTGGGCTACCAGTGGGCTCCCATCCTAGCCAACTTCCTGCACATCATGGCAGTCATCCTGGGCATCTTTGGCACCGTGCAGTACCGATCCCGGTACCTCATCCTGGTACGGCTCACCTAGCCCCTTCCCAAGCCAACTCCTCTCCTCACCCCTGCCCACTCCACCCCTCCCTGCTCCTCAAAACCAGAACTGCCTCCCAACACTGGGGCACTGGTCTTGGCTCCACCCAAAGCAAGATGGGGTGAATGTGCACAGCCCAGTGCTTCTTTGCTCAGAGGAGACAGGGTTGTTTTTTTTTTTTCCTGAAGAATTTTTTAGGGAAATAATCCAAATATAAACAAAATGGATCATGTAGTGAGTGCCTGGCATGGGCCAGGCACGCTGCTAAATTTCACGTGCTTCATCTCATGTCTGCAGTAGCCCTGTGAGGCAGACCTTACCAGCTCCATTTTCCAGATGAGGAAACTGAAGCTCAGAAAGGTTGTGAGTCTTCCTAAGGTCACACAGCTAATGAAAGCAAGGCAGGATTAGAACATCAGATCTACAGTGAAGGCTCCTGCCACGGCACTACACGCCCTCACTAAGCCGAGGGACGGGCGCAGGGACACAGGAGGGGTGGGTTTCATCTTATTTAGTTTCTCAGGAAGCTTCAGGAAGGCTTGGCATTTGTCTGTCCTGCCCAGTGTACATCAAGGATGTGGTCTGGAGCAGCTAGTGTGGCTTTGAGGTCAGTGCCTCCCTGCGCTCCAGTCCCAGGAGTCTGGGTCTCTCTCCTCCTCCCCGACAGCCTCTTCCCAAGTCCTGGTCCCTAATGGTCTCTGTCAAACTCCTGCTTTCAGCTAGATTCACCCATATCGCCTGCTGTTCCTCAGTGACCTCTTCACATGGCTCTCTTGAGCGAAAAGGCTTTTCACTAGATTTACTGCATACATGCTTGACACCTACAATCACAATGACATGCAATGTCATGCTGCCTCCAGAGCCCACGCACACTCATTCTAGGACTTCTTTCCCCACCTCCGCAGGCTCAGCTCCCAGAAGCCAGGTGAACAGGACCCTAACAAGGCTCTCTCTCATCTGACGTAAGAGAACCCTTCTCTCCAGTTCTCAGGGAAGCCCCAGGCACCACTGTCAACAACACTGTCTGCCAGCTGACAGCCACTAGAATTGCAGGCACAGGACTTGGGTAGCAGCATCCAGCTCTCAAATCTACCCTAACCTCCTTTCCAGCTCACTGCCGTGGGTGGAATGCTGTTCTCCCCAGAGGTGGCCACATTCGGGATGTGAGAGAACTGAGGGGCCCAGGGGCCTCGGTGTTGCCCTAGCAATGCAGCTCCCAGTCCCTCCCATCCCAGCCCTCTCCCTCCAGACAGATGGAAAGATTGCTGGAGCAGGGCAGATCCACCTGTGTCATTCAGGTACAATTTACAGAGCAAGGAGGGGAAGGAGGAAAGTGACAGAGTGAGGGCATCCAGGGCCCAGGCTGGACTCCCTTTCTATGCTTGGGGCCTCACTGTCGTCTGCTCACCCCAGCCTTTCTCCAGGCCCCATCCATGATCCTGCCTCCACCTCCCCTGGTTCCCTTATATCCAGACTCCAGCCACAGCCATGTGAGAAGATGTCACACTCATACTCAGGAAAAAGGCTGCAGGATAACCTCCTGTCTCTTTTGGTCTGAAGTTCCCAGCATCCACTGCCCTCCAGCCTGGGTGACAGACTGAGATTTTGCCTAAAAAAAATAATAATAATAATTAAGACTTTTTTTTTTTGAGACGGAGTTTCACTCTTGTTGCCCAGGCTGGAGTCCGGTGGTGTGATCTCAGCTCACCACAACCTCCACCTCCCAGGTTCAAGCGATTCTCCTGCCTCAGCCTCCTGAGTAGTTGGGACTACAGGCATGCGCCACCACGCCTGGCTAATTTTGTATTTTTAGTAGAGACAGGATTTCTCCATGTTGGTCAGGCTTGTCTCAGACTACCGAACTCAGATGACCTGCCCACCTCGGCCTTCCAAAGTGCTGGGATTACAAGCGTGAGCCACTGTGCCTGGCCTCTTTTTTTTTTTTTAAGAGATGGGTTTTCTCCATGTTGCCCAGGCTGGTCTTGAACTCCTGGGCTCAAGTGATCTGCCCACCTCAGCCTCCCAAAGTGCTGGGATTACAGGTATGAGCCACTGCACCTGGCCCATTTCCTATAGTCTTAACGGGTTCATCCAGCTATTCTGTGCTAGGCATTGGCATTGCAGTGGTGAGCCAGGCAGGCAAAGTCCTCGCCCTCTAGTGGCTTACCACCTGGAACATGTTTCTGAAAGGGTCATCCGAGTTACAATCCCCTAGGGATTGCTTAAACAGCTTTTAAACAGCATCCCTAGAAATTTGGAATCAGTAGGTCTAGAGGTAGGACCCCAGAATCTGCATTTTTGACAAACATCCTTGAATGATTCCAGTATTCTAGAGACAGCTGGTCTAGAGGATGTTGTTAGCAGAGTGGATGGGATTAGCTAGCAGAGAACTTGGATTTGAGTGGCAGCCCTACCTCCTCCTAGCTGTGTGATCTTGGAAAGCTTAAACTTCCTTTCAGCTTTAAATTAGTTTTCTCTAAAGAGAGGGCAGTGCTAACCTTGCAGGGCTGTTGTAAGGCCTGATGGGTGTGTAAATGATTTGTAGGCTACACTGTGCTCTCTGAGTGAGGTATTCTCATAATTTCCCCTGCCCAGATCTCCTCATCCCTGAGCTCTGTCTCCACTGACACTCCCCCTACCCCACTCCCCAGGCCCCACCCTGATCCCACCTCTGCTTTCCCCAGTATGCAGCCTGGCTGGTGCTCTGGGTTGGCTGGAATGCGTTTATCATCTGCTTCTACTTGGAGGTTGGACAGCTGTCCCAGGTAAGCCTCAGGCCTGGCAGTGCCGTAGGGCAGAACCTGACCATTCCCATCCCCTGCCCCAAGGGTATTGTGTTATAGGACCAGAGCATCATGTCTTGAAGAAGCCTCCCTCTCCTTACACGCCCAAATAATCTGTGTGCCCCATTTTCCACCTACCAATCCATTTCTGGCTACCTCAAACACAATGATGGAGCAGATAAGGCTGAAGAGCAGCCCATGTGAAGATGAGCCAGGGGTCCCAGTTGATCACAAGCTCAGTAAAAACCAACAGTATGTGGTAGCCCAGAAAGCTACTCTTAGGCCCCACTAATAGAGGTAGAGTATTCAGAGCAAGGGAGGTGAAAATGCCACATGCTTTGTACTGCTTAGATCACAAAGATTTGGCTCTAATTCTGATCAATATTTTTCAGAAGGGAAAGAGACTAGAGTTTGTTTAGGGAAGATTGAGCAGACCATGTCACACGAAGAACTGCTGAAGAAAGTAGGACTGTTTCACTTGAATAAGAGCAAGCCCAGAGAGACACAACTTCTATTTTTAGATATAAAGGAGACAAAATATGTGAATTTAAGAGCATTGGCTTTGTAGTTTGACCCTGCTAGGTTCCAATCCCAGCTCTGAAAGCTTCTAGCTATATTACCCTGGGCAAGGGGCCGATCCTGTCTGAGCCCCAGTTTCCTCATCTAGTAAGTGGACATAAAGCAACTGCAACTTCATGTGGTTGCTGAGGGGATAAAATAAGATCGCACATCTGAGTGCTTGGCCCCTGGTCGGCAGGCAGTGAGTATTTACCTGCTGAATGAGTGACTGCATGGATGGGCACCTGGGTGCACACCCTGAGTAAGAACTTCCAATCTAGGCCAGCCCTTCTCCATTTAACAAATGCGGAGACTGAGGCCCCAAAGGAGAGGTTCGCCCAGGGTCGCACACAGTGGGAGCAGTGGAGAGACTGAATGGGCTGTGAAGGGGCCTGTACTGAGGATTTCACCTGTGGCTGGGAAATTGTTAATGTTCCTTCCAGCTCTGAAAATTCTGAGGCCCCTGTGAGTCCACACAAACCCCTTCCCATCTCAATGAGAAAAGAGTGAGGCCTGTGTGGTCATCAAGTGCCACCTGTTGGCCAAATATGGACTTGCAGGTGCAGACTCCCTGAATCCCTTTACCCATCAATATGAAGTCTCCCTGGGCTGGGGGAGTAGCTCCCCCCTCCCTCTCCCTCACATTCGGTATCCCAGGCTCCTTTGCCCCCAGGACCGGGACTTCATCATGACCTTCAACACATCCCTGCACCGCTCCTGGTGGATGGAGAATGGACCAGGCTGCCTGGTGACACCTGTTCTGAACTCCCGCCTGGCTCTGGAGGACCACCATGTCATCTCTGTCACTGGCTGCTTGCTTGACTATCCCTACATTGAAGCCCTCAGCAGCGCCCTGCAGATCTTCCTGGCAGTGAGTCCTTCTGTCTCCCACCCTACACACACTTCCCGATCCCTTTCTTTAGCTCTAGTTAAGAGGGGATGATGGGTTGGGCACAGTGGCTCACACCTGCAATCCCAGCACTTTGGGAGGCCAAGGCGGGCGGATCACCTAAGGTCAGGAGTTCAAGACCAGCCTGACCAACATGGAGAAACCCCGTCTCTACTAAAAATACAAAATTAGCCAGGTGTGGTGGCACATGCCTGTAATCCCGCTTACTCGGGAGGCTGAGGCAGGAGAATCGCTTGAACCCGGGAGGTGGAGGTTGCAGTGAGCCAAAATTGTACCATTGCACTCCAGCCTGGGCAACAAGAGGGAAACTCCTTAAAAAAAGAAAAAAAAAAAAAGGGATAAACCTAGGTTTTCCACCTGTCTGTCCTTTTGTCTGCATCTGTTTCCATATCCTGTACCACCTTCCCTCACCCCTGCCCCAGCGCCTATGCAGGGAGTGAACAGGTTTAGTGAATAGGATGAGGCATCAGACTAGGAATCAGTCCTGGGTTTAAATGCTCAATACACCCACTGCGTGACTTTGGACAAGTCACCTGCCTTCTTGGAGCTTGTTTCCTTATTCACAAAAAGGAATGACAATACCAGCCTCAGAGTTGTGAGAATAAAAAAGTGACCCCAGTGGGCATGGTGCCTCATGCCTACAAAGCCAGCTACTTGAGAGGCTGAGGCAGGAGGATCGCTTGAGCCCAGGAGGTTGAAGCTGAAGTGAGCCATGATTGCATCACTGCACTCCAACCTGGGTGATAGAGTGAGACCCTGTCTGAAAGAAAGAAGGAAGGAAGGAAGGGAGGGAGGGAGGGAGGGAGGGAGGGAGGGAGGGAAAGAAGGAAGAAACAAGAAAAAGAAAAAGAAAGAAGGAAAGAAAGAAAGAAAGAGAAAGAAAGAAAGAAGAAACTAACTCCAAGATAGGAGTAGTTCCTGTTTCTAGAAGGGCCAGCCCTGTCCTAGGCACTTTGTACCCACAAAGTCACATAATCCTCTTTCTTCTTAACACACCATAAGTCCAACTGGGAAAACTGAGGCTCAAAGAGGTAAAATGATTATTTGCCTCAAGTCACACTTTCAGAAGAGTTAAACCATGTATGTTTGACTTTAAGGTGAAAACATTTAACTGGAAGTTGTTACGGGTTTGCCTTCATCCTGGCATGCCTCCTCCCTTGCCAGTCAGGGCGTACAGGGCCCTGCAGGGGGTGGAGGAAGAGGTTCCCACTCCTCCTTCCCTCCCTGACGTGTCACCTCCACTCCCAGCTGTTCGGCTTCGTGTTCGCCTGCTACGTGAGCAAAGTGTTCCTGGAGGAGGAGGACAGCTGTGAGTAAGGCGCCCCTAGGGAAGAGGGGAATCTTGCCCCGTACCTTCAGCACCCTGGACAGAGGCCTGTGACGGGCCGTGGCGGGAGGGAGCCCAAGTCACTGGCCCCTTTCGAGGGGAAGAGGCGGCTGGTGTGGAAGGCTCTGAATACCAGCCCGTTCCGGGCTGGGGTCCAGACGTCCAGGTGCCCAGTCCCTGGCCCCAGCACCGCCTTTCCCCAATCTCGCTACACGTGGACCTCATCAGAGGTCTTGTCCCCTTTAGAGGCTCGAGCCCCGCCCCCAAGAGCCTTCTCTCCCATAGGACCGCCCGGCCTCCCAGGCCCAAGCCTTAAGGATTGGGGCCTGACCCTCCGCTGGCCCGGCCCCGCTGCCTCCAGACCCCCAGAGGCCCATCCCTCAGGGTCCAGCCGAAGCCCCGCCCCAGGCCCTGCACGGGTTCTGACCCTCGCTCCTCCCCTCCTCACGGCTTCTCTGGCTCCGCTTCCTCGGGTGGGGGTCCTGCCCTCAGATTCCCCACCTTCAGGACCCAGTCTCCCTCTCCTCACCCCGCCGCTGAACTCTTAACACGCGCCGCCCCGCTTCCGCAGTTGACTTCATCGGCGGCTTTGACTCCTACGGATACCAGGCGCCCCAGAAGACGTCGCATTTACAGCTGCAGCCTCTGTACACGTGGGTCACGGCGCCCTGCTGGCTTGGGGAGGCCCGGGCGTCGGGGTTGCGAAAAGGAGGGGACGGAGGAGTGGGCAGGGCAACCGGGTCTCTCCAACCCCATACTTTTGAGGTCCACTGTCCCTAACCTGCCTTTGTTTCCCGCAGGTCGGGGTAGCCTCTGCCCCGCGCCCACCTCGGCGCCTCGCCTTGGGCCCCTGGACTGACCGCAGCTGCCTTGGGCTCAGGCCAAGGCGCAGGCGCGCCCCCTGGTGGCCCGCGCGCTCACTGCAGCCTGCGCCCGCCCCCGGGTCTGCAGCCGGAGACGCGGATTTGGACTTGGACTTGGACTTGGCCTTGGCTCTTCGCAGCCCGGACTTCGGAGGAGTGGGGCGGGGCGGGGGAGGGGCACCGCGGGTTTTTTGTTTGTTTATTTGTTTTTAATCTCAGCCTTGGCGTGAGCTGGGGCCTTCCTCTCTTCTCCAGCCTCTCTTTCACCCTTCACCCAGCATCCTGCCCCCCTGTCCAAAAACAGCAGGACATCACACCCATCCCATCCCACCACACTCACTCACCAGCTCTGGGGAAAGCTATTCTGAACTAGGAGCAGGAGTCCTGGGTTCTAATCGCAGGTCCAACACTGACTGTGATGTCTGGCTAAGCCCTTGCCCTCTCTGGGCCTCGGTTTCCCCTCCTCAAGTGATTAATTCCTTAGCAAATGGACTCTTTTAGACTTCTCATTTAACTCAATTCCCTGAGCTAGACTGGGATTAAAATTCCCATTTTGCAGTACATTAAAACTGAGGCCCAGAGATGCAATTTGCTTGAGGCCACACAGCTAGATTTTTGGTGGAAGTGGGCCTTGAACACAGTGTACTTTCTGCAGTTTCTGACTGTAAAACCCACGTCTGCTCTCTGAGTTCAATTTCAAGCCCCCCTCCAGCTTGGACCCATGTGGTCTCCACCATATTCACACACCACCGCCACCACTTGCCAATGCCTCTCTTAAAGCAATATACCCATTCGTTCTCTTATTGGGAACGGGATGGACAGAGCCCTAAATTCAGCCCCACCCACAGAGAAGCCTTCCTACGCTCAGCCTCTGTCCACCCTTGGCAAATCTTTCAAGCTCTCTCCTCCAGGAAAGTGGGGCCCCAACTCAGTCACCCCACCCCCTTCCAGGTCCCTGAGGCTGGTTCTACTGTATCCCCATCCCCTCCACAACTCCACTCACCCCTGATGGCTCCATCCACCTCACCAGTTGGAAGGCTTGTGGTTCCAGAGGGGAGCAATGCTGGTCAGCGCTGCCCAGACTCCAGTGTTTACAGATCACCAGCGTTTACAACCAATTCAATGGCCAGAAGCCTCCTCTAACAAGCCCACAAGGAGTTCTGAAGGGGCAGATGGGGGTGTGAGTAGTGGGGGAGTCAGGATTGCCAGCACCCTCACCCTTCCTTGGGGGCAAGTAGAGGCGAGAACACTTTCCCCACCTCCCTCCACAGACACTCCTGAGGACCCTGCATCCCACACACTGCCTGGTGTGTCCATAGATGAGAGGATCAGGCCTCAGCATTTCATCTGTGAAAGAGGTGTGGCCCTGGGTTAGAAAGGAGGGCAGGAGGCATGGAGGAACTGGGGGGACACCCAGATGGTGCGTATGGTTTGCACACCTGAGCCTGTCTGGTGACCACTTCGCTCCTCGCCCACTACCCTCCAATCTATCATTCCCTACTCTCTACGGCCAAAATATCCTGAGCAAGGCTGACAACCCCACCCCACCATCCCAACTGCAAGCAGCCAGCCCCAGGAGTTCCTCTGGCCCCCACAGGCATGGAGCTCCTAGCTGCTGGGTACAGCTCAAGAGGGGGGCAGCTCCCTCAGGCTAAGCTGCTGCCGTTCACTGGGCCAGCCCTGCTTCCAGCCCCCACTTCTCTCAACCCCACTCTCCCAGGCCCCTTTCTACTCAACGGGTGCAGCCACTGGTGCTTTGAAGCCTTTTGTTTTTATAAGATGGTTTTTGCAAGGGGACCAGGTTCTCTTTTCACTGGGACCTTGCAAGGAGGGGAGTGCTCTCCTGGTTTCTGTGCAGGTGGGTTGATTAAAGATGGTGTTTTCTTCTCTATCTTCCTGTCCTGCCCATTGGGTCTGTAGAACTTTCTAAGTGAGAAGTCCCTACACGAGGGCAGGCAGGGATGATTTGATGTTGATGCTATCAAATATTCCTGGGGTGGCCAGGCACGGTGGCTCATGCCTGTAATCCCAACACTTTTGAAGGCTGAGGTGGGCAGATCACAGAAGGTCGGGAGTTCGAGACCAGCCTGGCCAACATGATGAAACCCTGTCTCTACTACAAATACACAAATTAGGCAGGGGTGGTAGCGGGCGCTTGTAATCCCAGCTACCCAGGAGGCTGAGGAACAAGAATCACTTGAACTCGGGAAGCAGAGATGCGGAGAGCTCAGATGGCGCCACTCTACCCCAACCTGGGTGATAGAGCGAGACTCCGTCTCAAAAAAAGAAAGAAAGAAGAAAGAAATCCTGGGGCACTGGCCTGTGACTCTGAGTGGGTGTGTGGGTATGCAGCTTTAGGCAACTCACTCTCCCTCTCTATCCTTATCCGGAAAAAAAAAAAAAAAAAAAGCAGAGGTCAAACAAAATCAGTGGGTTCCCAAATGTGGCTTCATAATCCCTTAGAGATCTTCCTACTTATTTTCCTGATAAAATGCATTTAAAGTTTATGCTTCCAAATATCGTTTGCATCTTGGCTCTTCCTGAGAATTCAGTTCCGGGTGTGGAATGAACTGACACACAGTGCTTTAGACTCAGGTTCCTGCATCCAACCTTTGATATCCTGGATACTTTTCTGGGGATACAGCCCAAGAATCAGTATTTAGAATGTTTTAATTTGTGTGTCGGGGGGTATGTGGGTGAACAGGTAATATGTATATAAGGTCCGGGAGTCAGAAGGTCCCAGTGGGATTATATACTCATACCTTTTTTCATATCTTTCCAAGGATAGGCCTTTTTTTTTTTTTTTTTTTTTTTTTTTTGAGACAGAGTCTCGCTTTGTCACCCAGGCTGGAGTGCAGCGGCGCGATCTCGGCTCACTGCAAGCTCCACCTCCCGGGTTCACGCCATTCTCCTGCCTTAGCCTCCGAGTAGCTGGGACTACAGGCGCCGCCACCATGCCCGGCTAATTTTTTGTATTTTTAGTAGAGACGGGGTTTCACCGTGTTAGCCAGGATGGTCTCGATCTCCTGATCTCGTGATCCACCCGCCTCGGCCTCCCAAAGTGCTGGGATTACAGGCGTGAGCCACCGCGCCCGGCAGCCTTTTTTAAATTATACAATTTTTGGTCAGGCATGATGACTCATGCTTGTAATCCCAGCACTTTCGGAGGCAGAAGCAGGAGGACTGCTTAAGCCCAGGAGTTCCAGACTCACCTTGGGCAACACAGGGAGACTTCATTTCTTAAAAAAAAAAAAAAAAAAAAAAAGTAAAAATTAGCCAAGCATGGAGTGGCACATGCCTTTAGTCCCAGCTGCTCAGGAGGCTGAGGCAGGAGGATCACTTGAGCCCAAGAAGTTGAGGTTGCAGTAAGAGCTGAGATTGTGCTGCTGCACTACAGCCTGAGAAACAGAGTAAGACTGTCTCAAAAACAAACAAAATTACACATTTTTTTTTTCTTTTTCACACAAATGGCAACGTATTCTACTTACTCTTTGACCCTCTGCTTCTTTTTTCCCCCCTTGAGATAGTCTCACTCTGTCGCCCAGGCTGGAGTGCAGTAGTGCAATCTGAACTCACTGCAACCTCCACATCCCGGGTTCAAGCGATTCTCCTGCCTCAGCCTAATGAGTAGCTGGGATTACAGGTGCCTGCCATCACCCCTGGCTAATGTTTGTATTTTTATTTTATTTATTTATTTATTTATTTTTAAGATGGTGTCTCACTCTGTTGCCCAGGCTGGAGTGCTGTATTTTTAGTAGAGATGGGGTTTCGCCATGTTGGCCAGGCTAGTCTCGAACTCCTGACTTCAAGTGATCTACCTGCCTTGGCCTCCTACAATGCTGGGATTACAGGAGTAAGCCACCACACCTGGCCTCTTTCACTTAATCTTGGAACTCTTCCCCCAATAATTTCTGTGGAGCTTCCTCTTTTTCTTCCATGGTGACAGGTCTTGATGCAGCTGGCAAGTAAGAATCAGAAGTCCTTACATAACGACGCCCCAGGTCAGTTATGCAAACACCTGTGGACCACTCCTGACCATGGGGTCCAGAGGAAAACAAGTCACAGACACAGAACCTCCAAGGAGCTTCTGATCTGCTGATAGTCAATGCTGAGGGCACAGAGTAGAGTGAAAGGCAATCGTTAACAGGAGCTCAGGAGAGAGATCTGAGTGCCCCAGCAGAGGCAACAGCATGAGCAAAAGGGTGAAAGTAGGAAAATACATAGTGGCCAGGGTAAGAATAGTTGGAGATGAATTGGTTGGAGAAGGCTTCAGTGGATAACATATTCATTTCCTATTTCTGTTTTTCTTTCTTTCTTTCTTTCTTTTTTTTTTTTGAGATGAGAGACAGGGTCTTGCTCTATCACCCAGGCTGGAGTGCAGTAGCATAATCATGGCTCATTGCAGCCTTGCCTTTCTAGGCTCAAGTGATCTTCCCTCTTCAGCCTCCTGAGTAGCTGGGACCACAGGTGTGTGCTCAGGAGGATAGCTTGAGCCCATGAGTTTAAGGCTGCAGTGAGCTCTTATACCACTGCACTCCAGCCTGGGTGACAGAGCAAGACCCCAACTCAACTCTCCCATCTCTCTCTCTCTCTCTCTCTTTTTTTTTTTTTTTTTTTTTGAGACAGTCTCACTCTGTCACCCCAGGCTGGAGCGTAGTAGCTCGATCTTGGCTCACCGCAACCTCTGCCTCCCGGATTCAAATAATTCTCATGCCTCAGTCTCCCCAGTAGCTGGACTACTGGCACATGCCACCACATCCAGCTAATTTTTGTATTTTTAGTAGAGACGGGGTTTCACCATGTTGGCCCAGGCTGGTTTTGAACTCCTGGCCTCAAGTGATCTGCCCACCTCAGCCTCCCAATGTGCTGCGATTACAGGCATGAGCCACTGCACTTGGTAGAGACCCAATCTCAAAAAAAAGGGAGTTGTATCGCGGTTACCACAGTCCTGAATGTTGAATCAATGCATCAGCCTGACGTGATAGCAATGGGGACCTATTGAAGGATTTCCATCACAAGTTAATCAGTTAGAGCCATACTTTAGAGAGGGTGGGCAGGGCTGGAAGGTTAGGCTAGAGGAGGAAAGCAGGAAGCAATGTTCTGTCTGCAAGAGACCTCGCGTGTCTCACTTCTGCAGGTAGGCGTGTGTCTCAGGGTTATGTGTGTGATGATGAGCACTCTGTGTATTAACTTGGGAGAGCTACTACGGTAATGATCAGCATGAACTGCAGCAGTCAAGCAGACCTGGATCCAAATATTAAATTCCCCACTCTGGAACCAGTCGAACTGGTCTTCCCAGGCAGTCCAGTGGAGTTTCTCCAGCTCCTGCCATCCTGAGGCCATCTTCCAATAACCTCTGCATATTAAAATAATCCAGGTAGGGCTGACCATCTTCCAATAACTGCTGAGTCATAAAGGTGCCCATGGCATTCTTTGAAGCAATGAAATGTGAATTGACCCACAGTGCATTTGACAAGCACAACAGTCTACTGGGACTTAGGGACATAATCATGTTTTCTTCAGTGCATTGGAATGTGGGTCTTGCAACTTCTAAACAGATTAGGGATGAAGTAGGTCCTGACACCAAGGCCTCATTCCTTTCTAAGAAGATTCATTCCAAAGGGCCTGGGCAGTGGTTATCAATCTTGCAGAATTTTTTTTTCCTTTTTTGCAGATGGAGTCTCACTCTGTCACCCAGGCTGGAGTACAACGGCGTGATCTCAGCTCACTACAACCTCCACCTCCTGGGTTCAAGTGATTCTCTTGCTTCAGCCTCCCAAGTAGCTGGGATTATTGGCATGCGCCACCACGCCCAGCTAATTTTTGTAATTTTAGTAGAGATGAGGTTTCGCCATGTTGACCAGGCTGGTCTTGAACTCCTGACTTCAGGCGATTCACCCGCCTAGGCCTCCCAAAGTGCTAGGATTACAGGCATGAGCCACCACGCCTGGCCCAGTCTTGGAGAATTTAAGAATCCCTTAAAATCCAGATTCCTGAGCCCCAATTACTCTGAGACACACTGAATCCAACATCTCCAAGGCAGTGATGAGAATCTGTGCTTTTCACCAGTGCCCCAGGTGATCCAGGTTTGGGAAATCTTAGGCCCTAGTAAAGAGGCATTCAAGGCCGGGCGCGGTGGCTCAAGCCTGTAATCCCAGCACTTTGGGAGGCCGAGACGGGCGGATCACGAGGTCAGGAGTTCGAGACCATCCTGGCTAACACGGTGAAACCCCGTCTCTACTAAAAAATACAAAAAACTAGCCGGGCGAGGTGGCGGGCGCCTGTAGTCCCCGCTACTCGGGAGGCTGAGGCAGGAGAATGGCGTAAAAACCCGGGAGGCAGAGCTTGCAGTGAGCTGAGATCCGGCCACTGCACTCCAGCCTGGGCGACACAGCGAGACTCCGTCTCAAAAAAAAAAAAAAAAAAAAAGCATTCAAACAGTTTTGAAACTCCACCTATGTCACTGTCTTCAAGGCCCTGTCAAATTATGCCTGCCACCTCCCTCATATCAAGAGCTAGGCTTTAAGAATATTTTCTCAAGCTGGGTGCAGTAGCTCACACCTGTAATCCCAGCACTTGGGAGGCCGATTTGGGTGGATCACAAAGTTAGGAGTTTGAGACCAACCTGGCCAATATGGTGAAACCCCATCTATACTAAAAATACAAAAATTAGCCAGGTGTGGTGGCAGGCACCTGTAATCCCAGTTACCTGGGAGGCTGAGGCAGAAGAATCACTTGAACCCAAGAGGCGGAGTTTGCAGTGAGCCGAGATCATGCCACTGCACTCCAGCCTGGGTGACAGAGTGAGACTCCATCTCAAAAAAAAAAAAAAAAAAAAAAAAAAAAGAATATTTACTAAAAACTGGCCGGTGCAATGGCTCATTCCTCCCC